TACTCAACCAAAATGCTACATAAATCCAAATAAGAAAAACTGACATTCCAGTGAATGATGTTTTACCATTTCAGTCATTAACTCGTTATTTACTACTAAAAAGAGATAAATTGTTTTATTAACCAATCATTGATTATTACCTAGAGTATGTGTACTTATATTCACATGGAAAAAATGGTTTATCAGTATTCATTACACAATAGCTGTATGTGGGAATAATATTAGCCAATAACAAAGACAACCCTCTTTTCAGACCAACTGTCAATCTCTAGATTGTAGCACACATGGAACACTGCATTCTAGTCTCTAAATTTGGAGTCAGAAAAGTTTATAGAAATAAATAGGAGGAATCTGATGAGAAACTAAAATATGTTACCGCAAAAAGCTATGAAGCCCTAGTAAAAGGCTCCTTGGTTTCTTACCATCTATAAACAGCTTCATAAATCATTTGGAAAACCAGCCTAGAGGCAAATAACCACCTGCATGTCCCAGCCCCATGCCTGCAGTCCACACTCCTGAGAACGACCAAGCAGCACTAGTTGTGGATGACGATCACACTGAAGCCTGAAGCTTGTACGCAGGCCTTGGTTCCGGCTCAGTTTTCTGCCTTGGACTCGTCAAGTACTGCTGCTTCCTCCAGAATCTTCACTAGTGAATTTAAGCGAGTGTATGTCTGCAGAATCTTCTCCTTCAGCTGGGAAAGGAAAAACACATATCAGGGCATTTTAAGCTTAATTATCAAATTTACTGGTCCTAAAAACTCAATGCCATCAAGTTGATTCCAATTCATAGATAACCTTTAGGGCAGGGTAAAACTGCCCAAGTGAGTTCCCGAGATTATAACTCTTCACAGGAGTAAAAAGTCTCATCTTGCGTGGAGTGATTTCAAACTGCTGACCTTGCGATTAGCAGCCCACCATGTAACCCACTATGCCACTTAGACTCCTCACTGGTCCCAAACTCACTGCCATCAAGTCAATGCTCACTTATATACCAGAGTAGAAGGTGCAGGCTTTCTCCAGAGGAGCTGCTGGTGGTTTGAACTGCTGACCATGGGGATCACAGCCCAATGTATAACCTCTACACCACCAGGGCTCAGTTGTTAGTTTATGTCTAATGACTGGAATATGGCAATGAGTTTAACCATTTCAGGAATACATTTGTTCT